GCTTAGTTAACAGGCTAATATCTTGGAAGAGCTCTAGCTTTAGTCATCGAAAAGATTACCTAAAGAAGCACTTTGAGAAGTGTTTACCCATTTGCTGATTCATTCCGTTACTAAACGTAAGAGACATCCTTCGACTGCGCTTGCTGCTGGTGAGTGGAAATCGTTTTCATTACACTAGGAATGGAAAAGACCCTAACTGACACTGACAATCATGCGCTAATCTGAGACGAGGCGAGAAAATGAAAATAATTTATTAAATTAATCGCAACGATAGCGGTCTATTCCTGTTTTATTATAATGAAAGCAGTATCTTTTAGGTTATTGAGTTTGATCCAGATCTTTTCTTGATACTCTTTTGAATGGACGTCGCCATATTGGCTGAACAGCGACCACGATACGTAATGGAGCGAATGAGCAGGCAATCAACTCACTACTTTTCCTTCATCCTTCTTTTTCTCCTGATCGTCCTTCTTGATTTCATCTTTTCTCTTCTTTTCTTCCTTCTTTGCTGGCTCATCTTTTTTCTTCGCGATACCTTTACGTGCTTTGCTACTGGCTACCGAAATGTCTGGTTGCTGAGTGGTAGAGGCTAAAAAATAGTTGATTACGAAAAATCGACAAAGAATTTTGCAGGCACATTACAAACAAGAAACAAGTCTGCCGCATTTTGTTTCCCTTGGATTGTGTGGAGCGGTTGCTGCATTGCGTAGACAATTTGAAATACTCTAAGGTTTGTGCAAAAGTAATTTGTTTTTTTTTCCTCGCAGAGCAAAAGTCCTTGGAAGCTTTGAATCGTCGATTCTGATCATCCTCTTCTTTGGTTCTTCATACCAGCTTGACCAATGAGCTCTCACAAGATGATCAAAAACTAGACTTAAAATCTTTGCCTTAGTCAGCGCGATTTTCTAAATACCCGCACCCCCAAAGCAGGTCCGAGCAACGGATTAATAGTTTTTCAACTTGCTTTGCAAAGTCGATTATATAAGACCAGTGCGTCACCTCTGCTTCGCAGAGGCTCGCACTGGTTTACTCACGTGCCTTACTCATTCTCGCACAATGAAGGCACTGAGACTCTCGCATAATGAAGGCACTGAGACTCACTTCACAATGCTGACTATGTTGTAAACAACTTCTCGTTCCAACAGCTTTTTCATGTGAGAGCGGTAATTTCGCGTGAATGAAACTTTTCGTTGAAGAAACAAATGCAAAGTTCGAATGGTTTTTGGATATCTTACGGCTTGGTAGTCGCTATAAGGGCGAAAATCACCGTGAACTACAACTCTGCGCAAAAATCTTTTCAAAGGATTAGCTGATAACTCGAAAAATTGACTTTCTACGCAATCAATTCTTTTGGCGCCGTTTTCATAAAGTATTAGGTTTTTGAGGTTGAAAAAGGTTGGTTTTTGCTCACTTTTTGGGCTGAAGTCCATGGCTCGTACATCAGCTTGTGAAACATATCCATGACTTTGCAAAGAGTGGCGGTACAGGCCTACTTTTGCTGGCCAGAAGCCAAGTGGACCGTTTGACCCGCAGTTTTCGAGGGATCCACTCAACGGATCCGCTCGTG